GTCTTCAGATATAACTGACACGTCACAAAGCGAACGAGGAACTCGAGTTAATCCAAGAGGGCCCGACTCAAAATTGAAAGTCTCTCTTTTGGCAAGTGAGTGGAGCTCATCAATGGGAGGATTGTCCACCATTAACAGACACCTCGCCATTCAATTGGGCAGGCACGCCCAAGTGGAAGTCACTTTCCTTGTCCCACCCTCTAGCTGCTCTGAAGAAGAGATAGGATTAGCACGAAGCTGCAATGTTGCCATCAGGGAAGTACAGAGTCGTACAGGTTACGACCTCCTTGACTTCCTGATAACTCCGCCGGAAGACCTGGAAATTGATGTAGTAGTGGGTCATGGTCAGAAGCTTGGTAAACAAGCCCAGTTTATCACAAGATCACACGGTTGCAAGTGGATTCAGGTAGTTCATACTTCACCTGAGGATCTAGGAATGCACAAAAAGTATCCCAAGGCGATTTCAAAGGGTGGGAAGAAGAAAACAATCGAAGTAGAGTTGTGTAAACAAGCAGATGCTGTTGTCGCAATTGGACCTACTTTAAAGGAGACCTTCTCAGCTTATCTTCGCCCCTGTGGCAAACAGCAAGACATAATTGAATTGACTCCAGGCATCTTCAGTGAATTTTCGACCATAAAACATGCTACAGTGGACAATAAAAACTTTAGGGTGTTAATCTTTGGTCGGAGTGATCGAGAGGACTTTGCAGTTAAAGGATACGATATAGCTTCCAAGGCAATAGCCGAACTGAGCGACCCTACTTACCGCCTGATCTTTGTGGGTGCACCTGACGGAGAAGAAGAGGAGATTAAAGAATATTTGCTTCAGAATGGAATTCCAGATGGCCAGCTAACTGTGAGAAAGTTTGTACAAAGCAAAGAGGAATTGGAAGAATTGTTTTGTGAGGTGGATCTGTGCATCATGCCATCAAGAGTGGAAGGGTTTGGCTTAACGGCCCTGGAGGCTATGTCAGCTGGTCTTCCCATTCTTGTCAGTGGCTGTTCTGGATTTGGAGAAGCACTTTGCACTGTGCTACTAGGCGAAGAAGTTGTTGTCAGTAAATCTGAGGATCCCAAGGAATGGGCAAAGGCAATCGCCGGTGTCCGCCAGAAGGAAAGATTACAGCGACTTCGAGAGATTCAACAGATACGGTGTTCCTATGAAGAGAAGTATGACTGGGAAAAACAGTGTGAAATTCTCGTGAAGAAGATGTGGGACATACGTTATGGTAAGTCTAAACTTTGTGAAAATACTAATTTCTGACTCTGATACGGAGAATACGAAAGATGCGAAAGTTTGAGCTTTTTGTTGGAGTAAGGAAAAATTGGTAACTGTCTCATCACGTTCATGGGACAGTACAGAGTAGAGTACAGAGTAGAGTACAGTTCTGAGTTCTCAACGAGGAATGGAACCTCAGACTTTGGAATCCTTACTCCGATTCTGTACTGACAGCTGACCTCCAAGGAGCTTTACTGTGAGTTAGGCTGTTATAAAAACACATAATTTGCCATCTTTCCAATCCTGGTTATCAATTGATATCAATTTAGTTGAGGAATACACTTATTATCTCCTGAAACATTGCTGATCCTAGCAGTACGCAGGGCGCCTGTCACGTAAAATGTAGCTCAGTAGTACAACATCGCAGCACGGAATCTAAAGGTCTGAGGTTTCGATTCCTCGTGGGAGAACCAGATTTCTCTCCTTTGTTCCACGTTTGTGTGAAGACGAATACAGTCGAACCTGCATTAAGCGGTCGGTTGTCAAAGTCCCGAAATTTGTACTCCTTTAATTACCGTAATTTTCACCTCTGTTAAACGGTCACCTCTATTAAGCGATCGTGGTTGCCCTTTACTGAGTCCCAACGGCCTGTTTGTATTTTACCCCGCCTGGACTGAGTCAGCATTTGAACTTTGAGTACTCAATGCTGGCATAAATTTGAGTTAAGATCTGAAAGCTTGAAAAGAAAGTATATTCAGCTTAACTCTTTCTGTCTTCCATTTGATGATTGAACGCTCCAAAAGGAAATGGGTAAAAATTATCCTCAACCGGCTTTTGAACAGAGAAATGTAGAAACCTAGATTAAAATTTAACCCTGGGTTAGCGCTAATCGGCCCTCCAAGAACTGGGCCCTGAAGTGTTAGCCAGCTTACTGTCCGCAAGGGAATTTTTCTCACGGTTTTCAAAAGAAGACCGCCTCAAATGCTGGCCCATCCACTAACAGGAATTTTGTCTCGTCCTTGTTGCAGGAATTGAGTCACTTGCAAATAGAAGAAATTGAGGGAAAAAAAAGGACAAAACATGCACAAAAATAACTTTGGAATTACGCGTGGACATTATCCTAGTGGAGTACAATAGCTAAGGAAATTGTCAGATATATCGCCATTCACCCTTGATCAAGCAGTGCCTTCATAGGTGAGTTTTAGCTTGGGGCTCTCGCTTGCTCTCCTCCTTTCATTGTTTAGTTGTTCATTACATAAATATCGTGTCTTAAATCTGGTACTTTTTAAACCACGTTTACGTCATACATAAGTATATCCGATTTCACAACTTACATCACAAAAAATAAAAATAAAAAAGGCAAATATGCACTGTAAACATGCCTATTTGGATTTCGTCCGGTCATCTCATCAACTTGACCTGGGGGATAAAGCAGGTTCTTTTGCGCTAATTTCCATTGCATAATAGGTAGAGGTAGGATAGAATGCTTAATGTGTCAATCTAACTTGTGTGCACTTACCTTTTTGTCTTTTTATTTTCGCCATAGATCCTTACCATGACAGTAGAGCCGACCTTTAACGTGACAATAAACAACTCAGATCAAATTGTTATCAAAGAAACCTCTGTGGCTCAAGATTCTTTAAGGCTTTGTGGTGCTGTTCACTGTTTTGGATGACAGTGCTCGATCCTATGAATGGAAATATTTCTGGAACAGCGATGAAACAGCTTAGAAATTCCCTTAAACTTGCAAACTCTTCAACCCTAGTTTATTTCACCTGCATAGATTTCTCGGAGATATTTTCCATCGTATTCCGGCTATTCTTTTTTTGGCCTCGATTAAGCTGAAATTTAGTTTAAATGTCACTTCTGAAAATAAAAAAATCAAGAACATAAAATCATGTTTCTGTGACATGTGTGTTTCGTTAATTTTGCTTCCGCAGTATGCCTTCTCTCTTTGCTTTTTCTGATAGCAAATGGCGATTTTACTTAGTGCTTATTTCTTGCCGTTCACCTGCCTAGTCCCATCATCAATTTTGCTCGATCTGTACGATCGTGCCTCCAATATCATTGAGCCTGCTATTAGCTCATGTATCGCTTGCGGTCAGCAGCTACAAACTCGTCGTTTCTCCCCTTTCCTCCAATCTTGACTACACTCTAAGCTTCAGTGGTCGCAAAGCCTAGTTTTCGTGCCGTCGGATAACTCTCTCGGGGATTATATCTCAGGAGCAACAGAAGAGCGTTTTAAATTTGAGTCGGCTCTTTTGGTAAAAATAATAATCATAACAAGCATCTTGGGAACGCCTAGGTTCAATTCCTCCCTACAAGACAAGGACAATGATTAAAAACAGGTTTTAACATCAATGTATCTTTCAAGTTGGTGGT